CAACCTAACATGCAGGTTTTTGGACAGTGGGAGAACGTCACTGTCCTCAGTCCAATAGTGGTGTAACTTTTTTATTTGAATGGTTTTGTTATTTTTTGTCCATTCCCAAATAAAACGCTTTTTCTGTTTTCATGGTAAAATGTTTTTTTTTTTTTAAATTAGAGCTTATATAATGTGGTTTGTACATCCAAAGAAAAGCTTTCTGTGATCAAGTTACCTATTTTCAGTTTAACATTTAAACAAAAATCCAAAAACAGTCTACCTACCAATGCTGAACGTGCTGTGTTTGGGTCTGTTTTAGCTGTCTAAAAGGATCAAGGAAAAGGATTCACACATCCTGCCATCTTTATACTCCTCATAACAGTCTACAGTCTCTGCCCACTAACAATATCTTAAAGCGGGAGGGATTTTGGTTAACCACCTTTTTTTTTCCTGCAGCTAAAAAAAAAGTACCATATCATCCTGATATCCCACTAAGTCTTCATCGTGTTAGTTTTGCCTGAATGATTAAGGGTTTTACTCCTTTCAACTTCTTCTCCATTTTGTTCTCATTCTGCCCCAAAAATGTCTCTTCTAATCTCAAACTTAGCTGTGTTCTTTTTCCTGGCATTTAACTTTTAAAATCCTGTTTGCCTTTTCAGCTAGTTGGCAACTTTCTTGTTGATATCTTGTGAGTTGTCTTTGCAACATCACAGTTATCAAACCTGCACTGAAAATGTTCCAGAAATCTGTGTGTTAACAGGAAAAGTCTCAGTAGATAAACAGTTGGTCCACAGCTCCTGCAGCATGTTGTCTGGACACAATAGAAATATAATCTGTAAAACTCCATTCTCACCAAAACAGAAAGAGGTTCACAGCCTCAGAGAAACCGGGAGGCCGCACCTAACATAAATTCCTAACATAAATTCCTCCTACACTCCTCCCACAGTCAGGTAGAGACGCAGCCAAAAACGAACCGCTCACAGGTATTACAGGTAATTCAGGTATCTGAGCTCCTCCCCTTAAGCAGGAAATAAACTAAAATGTTCAGAATCTCTGTCCTTGAAGCAGAAAGTACTCGACAGAAGTGCGATCCAAAGACGGAAAAGGCGAACCGTAAGTCGATACGAGCATATTTTCACTGTTTACTCTCTTAGTTTTTTAATCAAAGTTAGTAAAAATGGCTGGCAAAGATAAACTTTTCGAAAATTTCCTGAGCTGCTATCTGTGTTCAGAGACTTTCGGAGATCCAGTGTCTCTGAGCTGCAGCCACAGCTTCTGTTCAAGCTGCCTGCAGAAGTTCTGGGAACAAACTAAGAACAAGAACTGTCCTATTTGTAAAAGAAGATCCTCAAAGGACTTTCCACCAGTGAATTTTTCACTGAAGGAACTGGCTGACTCTTTAGCTGGAAGAAAAAAGTCACCTGAGGGTGAAAACAGAGAAAACGTTTCCATGGTGTGTACGAAACACAAAGAAGAACCTAAACTGTTCTGTGAGGACGAGC